AAGGCACATTACTACATGCCAGTTTTAAATAGCAGTGGACGTTGCACATAGCTGTCTGTTCTTTTTCTGCAGACCCAGTTCCTGAAGGAGAAGCGCTACGGAGGAGCCATGGTTTGGGCTCTTGGCATGGATGATTTCACTGGCTCTTTCTGTGGTGCAGGAGCCAACCCTCTTGTAGGGAAGCTGAAGGTTCTCCTTGGAAACTGAGAGCCAAATCGTTGGACAAGAAAGGAACATAGCAGGGAGGGAAACATCATATTTATTGTCCAGGGACCTGATCCAATATCTACTGAAGTCAAGGGGAGTTTTTCTATTGGATCAGGCCATAGTTGCAGAAACGACTAAACTCTGTTTTTCCTAATCTGTTTTTTTTGGATTCAAACACCTGTAAATAAATCTTGTGCTGACAAAGCTGCCACGGTGTACCATGATGCAAGGGCCAAGCTGACATTCTGGCTGTGGAGCAGAAGTTACTGCATTCAGTCTGGTCCTTCAGACCCATTCCATATGCTGTCATAGTGTATGTATGAACCCTCTCACAAAACACCAGAGATAATTCTAATTATGTATAAAACATACCAAGAGAGACCTAGCTCCAAACCCCTTTGTCCCCAAACCTCCAAACTCTGGTGAAATTCTACATTTAGATCTAGCCCATATCTCTGTAGTGGGTCAAACCAAAACTATCAACAGCCCAGAAATTTGGAGTATCCAGAGGTGGGACCATGTTCCAGAAAGAGTTCAGATCCAGGCTTTCAGCAGATCACATAGTCTGGCTATTCCATTTCAGTACTGCGTTGATTCTGAATCTTGGGATTACATAAAATATGCTGTCCATGTTTTGCTTTGGAACCGCGATGTAATGTGTCTCAAAATGCTGTAGTATTCCTGTAGTAAGCACTCTTGGAGTCCCTTCCTTTATAAATAAATGCAACCAAAAGCAAGAAAGTATTGCCTTATTCATGATAGTGTTTTGCTTTGTGTTTGCGGCACCATATGAATTCCCTTCAGTTTTCCTTCCAACATCACAAAGACGAGCTATTTTATGATTTCATCAGTGCCTATTGCAGGGTGTCTTGCACCTTCCTCTGAAGCACCTGCTGTACTGGCCATTGTTGGGGACAGGATATTGGACTAGATGGGCCATTGCTCATGTCCGACTTTCACTTTCCAGGTGAACAGGTGTTGGGAGATCAAGTTCTCAAGCCCAAAGAGCATGAGTCATCTTTATGCAGCTGTAAAGCCAGCTGATTTGAATGAGAAACAATTATTCTGAAAAACAATTGGTTCCTTCCTCACCTGAAGGACACAACTAAGCCTAGTGTGGGGAGATAAGAGGCTAATGCTGGGATGAGCGATAGGTGAGAACAATGCTGCTGGACGGTTGGTGCTGTGCCCTGTCAGTCAGGAATAATAGCCTATGGGGAGAATGGAGAAGAATACACTGGGTTCATGAATATTACTGATACAATGCAAATTCCAGCCTTGCTTCTGTAGATATTTCTTCGGGGCTCTGTAGTGTTGTTAGCTTGGAAGAAAATCTGAGCGGCTGTTTAGCACACTACCTTGACTCTCAATGGCTGGCTAGCTCTTCTCCAGTGAATTCTTCAATCTTTTTCTAAAGCAAGTTCAAACACACAAGAGGCACCCTGGGCCTTTCAGATAAGAGCATTTTCACAGTGCTGGCATGGTGTCTGTGCCAAGGAGGAGTGGTTGATAGAGCAGGTAAGGGAGAGTCCAGTGGCTGTAGCGATTGGGCCATATGTAATCTCAACGTAATTGTTTACCTTGTTGAACTTGCATTAGTTCTTAGTATCTTGTGCATTATGGTGATACTGTATTGATCACCCCTCTATACAAAACCTTCAACTCTTTTTCTTATATAACTTGTTCGGTTACACATGTTCAGCACAAGCAAAGCAAGAGGCCAATAGGGGTACCGTTGCTTTGGGGCCCACACATCCCATACAAGTTCTGCAATTCATGGACCAGCTGTATATCCCTCTCCACTGGTAGGAAAAGGGGAGGGACCAAATCACCAGTTGATACCTACTTTAGCAGAAGAAGTGGAGCGGGAGGAAAATGATGGCTTGATACCACCTTTCTGGCTACGTGGGGACAATGTATCAGATGATATTTTTTTGATGATATTTGTCTGTTACATCTTATGTGATGTTTCTATCGGTGGTCAATTTATTATTATTTTATTACTCTGATTTATAGAACTGCCACATATAAACCAGCAAATGTGGACCTATGCTTCTGTACCTATGTAACTTATGCCTTTGCCACCAAGAGCAACAATGAGATCGCTCCGTACGAATGGAACAATAATGTCCTCGGCCCATGGTTCAATGGTCAGTAACTCATAGTTCCTAAATCTCTGGGCCAGCTCCTCAGCTGATGTGAACTGACATCGTTCCATTGGCTGTAATGGAGGGATGGTGATTTACACCAGCTGAGGATCTGCCCTTCTAGAAGGAAAAGCTTGATTTTTAAAAAAACAAACAGATGCCTTGCTCTCTCTAAATATATTTCATTGTTTTTCCTACTCTCTCCCACAGCAACAAGAAAATGGTCACCGTGCTAGCCATTGGAGGATGGAACGTTGGGACCCAGACGTGAGTTCCCTAAGTTGTGTGTGATGGCTAGGGATGGAAATGAACATTCTGGTGACATGTTGGTGATGGCTGTTGATGGTCCCCTGGTCAAGAGCAGAGCCGGAGCGGGTGGCGTTGATGGGGATAATGATAGCGAAAAGATAGGTGATGGAGGAAGAGGAGGATGGCTATGGTGATGAGGAGAGTCTAGGGGGATGAATATTAGGATAGTGATGAATAAAAGGGTCTTCATGTGGCACTTAACATGTTCCAAAGATGAAATCTACCCCTGTCCAGAGGGCCAGCACCAAATAAGCCCTCTTTTTGGGGGCCTAAATGGGCTCAGGCTGGCCCTCTGCACAAAGGGAACTTTAAAGGTGATGACCATGGTGAAAGAGACACTTGTGAACCATGTGCAACTCTGATGACAGATGAAAATGATGGCAGAGACAATGAAAGGGAGGCTGACTTGGGCTGGGAGCTGCATTTACAAAAGGGGTGACCAGGAAAATAGACAGAGGAGTTGCTGCTGATGAATAGTAGGGTTGGGAGTCAAAGTGAGGATGGTTTTCCAGTCTAACTAAGAAATCCGTTCTTCCCAGGTTCACTACCATGGTGGCCACAGCCACTGTCAGCAAAACTTCCATCAACTCCGTCATTGGGTACCTCCATCAGTATGGGTTTGATGGGATCGACCTGGACTTTGAACATGTTCTAGGGACTCCCCCCCGAAGACAAGCATCACTTCACCATCTTGGTCCAGGTGAGATGCCAGTGTTTACGTGCCTAAAATAATGGGGCTCTGCCTGGCAAGGGGCCTTTGAGTGAGGTAAATATTAAATAATAATAATAATGTCATCAATCCCTAGGGTTCTGAGGAAAGATTGAAGCTAAAAGAGTGTGTAATTTTAATTCCACAAGTCCCAAAGAAATCTAACACATTGAAATAAATACATCTAACTCTCTGGAAAGCTTTCTCCATTGAGAGAATACCTGAAAGATTTTATGTAGCTGACTTGGTACGTTCACTAGCTGAGTTATTCCCCTATGACAGTGAAGGCTCTCAGTAATGTGACCTGTGCACAAAATTTCCAGGTGAATTTCTGTAACTTTACTGAAGAGTAGCAATCCCATGAATATTGTACTGCAGCTGTTGCACAAACGAAAATGTACTGAGGTCCGTGGCTTCTGAATGAATGTATGAAAACGATATAGTGACTGGCATAATGGGACTTCCCACACTATGCACAAACATTACCTCCTTGCCCCTGATATCCTAGCATGAATTTAGATAAATTATGCCGTCAAGAAAAATTATGCATTTGAGGGTGTGTAATAAGAGGAAGCACAGTTACTATGAGGACTGATAATATGTTGCTTAAGAAATATCAGCAACTGCCACTAAAGCCTCTGCGTTCAGAGCTATAACCTGCCACCTTTAGCGTGACAAGGGATTACTCTTGTATTATAATGGTTTCAGAAGGTAATACAGGCTTGGCATGGAAATTATCTATCCATCGTCGGGTTTTATGCTGCTGTCCCTCATTGTAGCATCTGAGCACCTTCCCTGTAAAATCAGGATCAATAACAAAGTCTCCAATGGACTCTATGGAATTTCTGGCACTTTTCCCTGTTTGGAGTAAAAGCTCAGCTCGGGACTGGGTTTTTGTTTCTATTTTTTTCGCTAGATTTTATTAATTGCATTTGGGGAAGGGGCAGGAGGGCTTATGGCTAGAAGGGGGTATCCGCGTTGGAGGATCATTCCAGTGGTGGAGTTACTAGTTTCAAAATCCATCTATTCTTTGAGAGACTTGCAAGCATGCAAGGGAGTGGGAAGAAAGAACACAGGAAATGGATAAGCATGTGCATCTTCAACCCCTTCCTAACTCTTCCTCCCCCTCCCCCAAACACCTCCAGGTCATGAATTCCAGCTTGTATTGTAGATATGCCCTGGGGCAGCTTGCTTTTCTAGGGTCCTCCAATAAGCAGGACGTTGCTAGAATAAAAAAAAACCCAACCCCTTCTATTTTTTATTAACACTAAGCAGACTTTCTAGATCCACAGCTGATGACCTTCTGGCAGCATCTGTCTTCCATCACAATCTCTGTGAAAGAGCAACAAATGGTATGGGCCAGAACCTAAACGGCATTTAGGAGCCTAACTCCTATGGATTTCAATCTACGTGACGAGGATCCTCAGGCTTATGAGGTGAACATAAGCACCTGCTGCTGGCTGGAAATGCAGCACCAACACTGTTAGCCATGCCAAGTTTAGCCACTGGGCCTAATCCTCCACTACTTTGCTTATTCCTGCACATTCTGATTTGCTAGCCTTTTAACCCCACCTTGCACTACTGTCAATCAGAGTGCAAGACCCAGCGCAGTAGAGAATCAAACCCACTAGCACCAAAAGTCAGACTTTTATTAAACTTCGCCCCCACACACACTGGCCACATACACTTTGACACTGGAGCATGTTCCAAACCTGACGTGTTTTTTTAAAAAAAAAAGTGAAATGACACCAATTAAGCCCTAATGGAAACACTGGTCAGTTCTCTATGAAGCAGCCTGATTTTGGAGTCCGAGTAGCATAGGAGAACTAGTTTTACACCCCGATTCTTGGTGCAGCTAAAAACAGAATTGGAAAGGAAAAGATACGCTCTGATGGGTAGAACTATTCAGCTGTAGTATAAGCTCAAGTAGGCCAATCGATTCCGATGTTTCCTGAATTCTTTATCTGTAATCAGCTAAAACAGAAATAAATATGGATGGATGTAACAGCTTTTAAAAGTAGAGCACATTGTAAAACAGCGCTGAAAGAAATAGGCAAGTTTAAGAAGCTCCAGAGTGAGTCGGGAGTGCGGTTTGAACTCTGAATCTCTATCGCTTGAGTTACAGGACTAACTCTCATTAGCTGTTAGCAGTATTAGCCTCTATGTGGATTAGCATTAGAGGGAAACATGAGACATTGCCCTAGCATATTTCATGAGGTTCTTTATATCCTTAGACTGGAACTGTCCTGTCCTAGATAACTTACAGTTTACTGTTTCAGCCCTCTCTCCAGACCCATTCTTCATAAATTAGTCCCTGCATGCCCAACCATAACTTCATTAACAGTCATGTTTCTTTCCCATTGCTTCTAAGCCTCTTGGATTTCTAGTAATTTTCCTCTCTTTCTCTATGTACAGCATGCTGCACAGGGAGAATGACATTAGTCCCTCTGGGTAACTGTACGGTTTCCTTTGTCTGATGCCTTGATCAACCAAGTCCCATCTCAAAAGTAAAGAATAACTATGTGGATACCTTTACATAAATTCCATACCTCTGTTCTTAGAGTCCTCCTCTCTAGCACTGGTACTAAAGACCAATCTGGAGACCCAAACTTCATTGGCCAGGTGATTTTCTTGTGTGGCAGCTTGTCTGCTTCATAAGTTCCAGGTCTAAAGGAAGATGAACACAAAATAGATCTAATTTCTGCAACTGATTTAGACAAGGAGTTTATACTCTGCTGATTTAGAAGTGCCACGTTGATCCACGAGGAGATGTGCATGATATGGTCTTTGGTTCATCACACTGGGATTCTAAATCTTAAGTAGTCATCACATAAAAACGGCCATACTAGGTCAGACCAAAGATCCATCTAGCTCGGTATCCTGTCTTCTGACAGTGGCCAATGCCAGGTGCTTTAGAGGGAATGAACAGAGCAGGTAATCATCAAGTGATCCATCCCCTGTCGTCCACTCCCAGCTTCTGGCAAACAGAGGCTAGGGGCACCATCCCTGCCCATCCTGGCTAATAGTCATTGATGGATCTATCCTCCATTAATTTATCTAGTTCTTTTTTGAACCTTGTTATAGTCTCGGCCTTCACAACATCCTCTGGCAATGAGTTCCACAGGTTGACTGTGTGTTGTGTGGAAAAAATACTTCCTTTTGTTTTTTTAAACCTTCTGCCTATTAATTTGATGACCCCTAGTTCTTCTGTTATGAGGAGTCAATAACACTTCCTTATTTACTTTCTCCACACCAATCATGATATTATAGACCCCTATCATATCCCCCCTTAGTCGTCTCTTTTCCAAGCTGAAAAGTCCCAGTCTTATTAATCTCTCCTCATACGGAAGCCGTTCCATACCCCTAATGATTTTTGTTGCCTTTTTTGGAACCTTTTCCAATTCCAATATATCTTTTTTGAGATGGGGCGACCACATCTGCACACAGTATTCAAGATGTGGGCGTCCTATGGATTTATATGGAGGCAGTAGGATATTTTCTGTATCCCTTTCTTAATGATTCCCAACATTCTGTTCACTGTTTTGACTGCTGCTGCACATGGAGTGGATGTTTTCAGAGAACTCTCCACAATGACTCCAAGATCTCTTTCTTGAGTGGTAACAGCTAATGTAGACCCCATCATGTTATATGTATAGTTAGGATTATGTTTTCCAATGTGCATGACTTTGCATTTATCAACATTGAATTTCATCTGCCACTTTGATGCCCAGTCACCCAGTTTTGAGAGATCCCTTTGTAGCTCTTTGCAGTCTGCCCGGGACTTAACTATCTTGAGTAGTTTTGTATCATCTGCAAATTTTGCTACCTCACTGTTTCTCCCTTTTTCCAGATCATTTATGAAATCGATTAGGCACTGCTATTGGGGCAGTCCCTAGTTACATCTCTCCTCTCTGTATTTGATCCAGTCCTTCAGACTCAGGGTACGCTGCAAACATATCAAAAGATTGAAAAAAAATGAGATCCCTGCAACAAATTCATAGTGGAGAGAGGTTCATGGATGCTGATTTCTAAAGGCATGCTTCTAAACATGCTATGTGAAAAGGAGATCTGTAAAACAGACAACATAGTCTCTCTTTTTTGCTGTGAATATTTCTTGTCTTACTATGATCTAAATAATCAAAGCAACAGAAATCAGACTGTTACACTACAGATTGTGACTACAAACCACAAAAGCTGACTTTGTCCACTAAAATATATCTATGCAATAGTAGCTTTAACTTTAATCTTTTTCTGTTGCATAATGTTTCTGTTTCCAGAAGTATTTTTTGGAGATCACCATAACCTTGCTATTTTTTTCCAGTCTGTTGGTGAATATGGGGCAGTTTTTTAATGCTCATGAAAATGAAGAGCTTAAGACACTAACTGGAGCCCGATGTAGGGCAGCACTGATGCTGTGCAATTTCCTCTGTCATGCTCAATCAATGGGCTTTAACGCTAACATGTTTAGCGCCTTTGCTATTGGAGCCCTGAGCTTATCTTGAGTGGAGATTCCGTTTCACTGAATTGTGCCAAAAGATTTCCTGGTTTTGTGCTGTGGTTAAATTGAAATTTACATTCTATTTTATGAAAGCAGGATTTTGGACCTCATCCTCCACTTGTGTTAGTGACATCTTAAGTGATCACAATGTGGCATGTGTGGTAGATTCCCATCTGAAGATCGATTTTGTGCTTTTTTTGGAGCCATTTGCTTCTATCGATAAATCTGGCTGAAATTTACCCTGTCTTGGCAACATTGGAACCTCGGGGTGTAGGGTGTCTTTATACACTCCAGGTGAGATTTTCAAGGTACACAGGTTTCAGAGTAACAGCCGTGTTAGTCTGTATTCACAAAAAGAAAAGGAGTACTTGTGGCACCTTAGAGACTAACCAATTTATTTGAGCATGAGCTTTCGTGAGCTACAGCTCACTTCATCGGATGCATACCGTGGAAACTGCAGCAGACTTTATATACACACAGAGAATATGAAACAATACCTCCTCCCACCCCACTGTCCTGCTGGTAATAGCTTATCTAAAGTGATCATCAGGTTGGGCCATTTCCAGCACAAATCCAGGTTTTCTCACCCTCCACACCCCCAGGGCAGTTAGGGCACGCAGTTGCCTACCTCCCATTTGTGCCTTTGCAATCCTATCCCTTAATGCCTAGGCTGGCTTTTACCTTGCTACTAAAGGAGTGAGAAACAGATTTATGGTACCCAGGGAAAAACTCTCTATCCAGAGCCTTCTGCGGAAATCGTGATGACTTGACAGAAAATGGGGCGTAGGCAGGCTGGAACTTCCGGTCTTTGACCCATGCTGATTGGTGTGTTCCAGGACCAGGGGTGACGGTCTATTTATCAGGCAGCAGATTAAAAAAGAAAAGAAAAGAAGTTAGCACTGGGGGCCTGATGCTCATTTACAGTCTAGCTGCTCTCACCATGTCAAGGGGCCTTAAAGTGCTTGCAAATGTAAATGTACGCACGCTGCCAAAGCAGTGTAAAGTGGTTGGAGTGTAAATAAGAATCAGGACAGGACAGGACCCATATATTTTAGGAAGTCTGTAATTCTGTTCTGTTTTTGGATTGCTAGAGATGCTTTGGCCGAAAAGCACAAACCTTAAAGCTGGGCAGTTTTCTTGGTGGCGTCTATGAAACTTTCCTACTAATCTTATATCGGTATGTGCCCTATCACTCCTAAAATTATTATCTTCTGGGAGCAATGAAGGGATCTGCAGGTATGTAGGGTATTTCTGTGGAAACCTGCAATTACCGAGCCTCCAAAGTTTGGTCTGTGTTTGTCCCTTTAACTGATTCAATCTATTTCTGAAGTGCCCATCATCATTGTATCTAGACACCATCTATAATTCATAAACAACATCTATTTCTGATAAACATCCTCTTGGCTGAGGAAGGTAAGAACAAAGAGCTACTTCAGCAGGTTAAGAAGTTCATGCAATGAAGGTGACAGAAGGATTCCTTGTATTTGGTTACTTTATCAGCCGTAGAGGGGATAGTTGAATACTTTCCTCACGCTTCAGCATATCAGAGTAATCTCTAATGAAATATATATATATATATATATGCAACTGAGGGAGAAATTCAGCACTGGGCAGAGGATCAGCATAAGATCCATCCATTGCTTAATTTCTGTTTCTTGGGTGGAATTTAAGTGGTGCATTGAGCTAGCCTTCAGCACAAGGGTGAATTTCACCCAGAGTGAATAAATTTCTAAACTAGCAATCCTTGTAGAACTATCTTATTTTTATAGAGCTGTGACTAGTAAATGAAAAAGTATTTTTCCCCCAAAAAAATTCAGAGTAAGACTCCTTTTAGGTTTGTGTGAACCAGGGATCAGAATTGCCAAAGAGCTCAGCACCCAATGTGCACCAGGCATGTTCAGTGATTCTGAAATTTGGGCCACTTATTTAGGTGCTTAAATGGATGGAGGGATGCTTTGGAAAATCTGGCCCTACCTGCTTAATTCTGTCATCAAATATCTGCAGTAGCCAGCAAAGTGAATGGAAATTGGGCATACATATCACAAGCACTTGTGATGGAATTACAGTGCATTTATTTTTTTAACCACCCACAGGAACACGCAGCAGCCTTGACGCACAGTAGAGTGTGCTTTCCTTACCTTGCAGTCTGGTGGGAAACGTAGGGATGTTCTTGCTCCCAGTACATAACCTTTGAGGCTCTCTGGTTTATGAGTCAAGGCATATATCATGCTACTCCTCTGTATGTAAAAAGCAGAAGCATGTTTAGTGCCAGTTACGATGTCATTCACGTCAGTTTATGGTTTAATGCATTTGAGCAGCTAGAGACCAACCTGTTGTTAAAGTCTCTTAAATCAAGAAAAGGCCTTTTTTCAATTGTCACTGTCACAGGTGGGATGGTCTTGTGATTAAAGCAGGAGGCAGGGAATCAGATGTGGATTCAATTCCTGGCTGTGTCACAGCCTCTGTGTATGATTCAGGGGAAGTCACTTAATTCTTTCTCTGCCTCAGCTGGAAAATGAGGGATAATAATGCCTTCTTTTGTTTCTATTGGGTACAATTCAAAATGGGACTTAGGAGTCTACCCCGTTTATGTGCTCTTGAAAAAAATTCCCCTTGTCTCTAAAGACAAAAAGAAAAGGAGGACTTGTGGCACCTTAGAGACTAACCAATTTATTTGAGCATGAGCTTTCCGTGAGCTACAGCTCACTTCATCGGATGCATACCGTGGAAACTGCAGCAGACTTTATATACACACAGAGAATATGAAACAATACCTCCTCCCACCCCACTGTCCTGCTGGTAATAGCTTATCTAAAGTGATCATCAAGTTGGGCCATTTCCAGCACAAATCCAGGTTTGCTCACCCTCCACCACCCCACACACAAACTCGCTCTCCTGCTGGTTTCAGAGTAGCAGCCGTGTTAGTCTGTATTCGCAAAAAGAAAAGGAGTACTTGTGGCACCTTAGAGACAAATAAATTGGTTAGTCTCTAAGGTGCCACAAGTACTCCTTTTCTCCTGCTGGTAATAGCCCATCCAAAGTGACCAACTTGATGATCACTTTAGATAAGCTATTACCAGCAGGACAGTGGGGTGGGAGGAGGTATTGTTTCATGATCTCTGTGTATATATAAAGTCTGCTGCAGTTTCCACAGTATGCATCCGATGAAGTGAGCTGTAGCTCACGAAAGCTCATGCTCAAATAAATTGGTTAGTCTCTAAGGTGCCACAAGTCCTCCTTTTCTTTTTGCGAATACAGACTAACACGGCTGTTACTCTGAAACTTCTCTAAAGACAGTTTTCCAAGGCCGGGACTGTCTCATTGAATACATTAAATACCCCAGGCCAGGTGAGACTCAATCTTGGTTGGCGACACAAACTGGCTCTTCATCCTACTACCCCGGGATGGGAGCTCTACTGCAGAAGACTCACCTCTTCAGTGTGGTAACTCCCGGGCCCACGACAGGGGTCCCCAGGGATGGGGACCAGCTGGTTCCCGAGTCTGTCTGGGGCATGGTGAAAGGGGAACATTTTCCTGGCTTGACATGATCCAAACGAGTTTCGCTTCTGCACCGCTACAGATGCAAGAAAGAAGAAGGGGATGGAGTTACAACAAGCACGTGGCGACCTGCCCCCCCCCCCCCCCCCGCGTGGGGTGTGATTTAGCCACAGGCGGTGGCTCTGCTCAGCATCGCCTGGGGAGCCCCCCGGGGGGGGGGGGCCCTGGCCGGACATGGGCGAGGGACCCCCCCGCAGGTGCCTGGGCTCGGTGCGGGCGGGGGTAGGGGAGCCCCCCACCCCGGGAGGTGCCCGGGCTGGAGGCGGATGGGGGAGCCCCCCACCCCGGGAGGTGCCCGGGCTGGGCGCGGCTCCGCTCACCGGTCAGCTCCCACTCCCAGATCATGCCGCCGGCCCGTGTGTACGGCCCGTTGCCATGGCCACGGGAGGGGGCGGGGACTCCCGGGCTCCCCGACCGGCTGGGGCCGCCCCCGGGCTGCTCCGCGCTCCTGCCCGCGGGCGCCCAGCGCCGGGCTGCGGCCCCGCGGGGGCGCCCACTGGCCCCGGCGCCCTGCCCGCCGCAGAGCCGCCCTGCCGGGACGCACCGCACAGAGCAGCGATTTGCCGGCGGAGCCAAAAGACAACAGCAGCCCCGGCGGGGCACCGCGGGGGCGGGCTCTGAGCCCGGGCAAGGCTGTTTTGTGGCGGTCCTTCCGCGGACTGGCTCGCTGCGCTGGTCTCCTGCTCGCAGTGAGGCTGGAGGTGGCGGGCGGCTGCTCCGACCTGACCCATTCCTCTCCCCTGGCCCCAGCCTGCAGGGTTGGGCTGAGGTTACCCAGCGAAAAGGTGTCAGCGGAGCAGCCCTGTTAGTCTGTGTCCGCAAAAAGAAAAGGAGGACCCGGGTGCATCCCATGAAGTGAGCTGTAGCTCAGGAAAGCGGGTGCTCAAATAAATTGGTTCCTCTCTAAGGTGCCACAAGTCCTCCTTTTCCTCTAGCAAAAAGGGACTCTCAGTAAAGGGTCTGAATAATATGCATCCAAGCCACAGAATATTCAGATGAGAAATACCACAGGGGGCCAGATCCTATCAGCACCCCGCCTTGTTTAAAAGCAGGGGTGCTGGAATAATGTGTAAAGTGTGGGGGGGGGTGGGGAGGAGGGTGCTGAGAGCCATTGAACCAAACTGTAAACCCTGTGTATGATGGAAATCACTTCAGGCCAGGGGGTGCAGCACCTATGTTTAAAAGCATCTCTATCCTACAGCCTCACCCCCTGGCGCACACACTGTTTTAGATGCTTTCTAGATAGATGTCTTATAACTGGCAGCTGGCATGCTAAGACCACTGCCTATCATTCCGACCAATATTGTCTCATTGTTTCCCCCATCTGGCTTTGTCTCAAGCTGCTGTCTCTTGTTTTATTAGATGGTCCTCTCTCAGGTGGTGGTGGGGGGGTGTGGTGGCAAGAATCGTCTTTTGGTTCTGTGTTTGTACAGCACCTAGCACAATGGGGTCCCAGTCTATGCCCAGGGGTCCTAGGTGCTATCACAATACAAAAATAATGATAAAAACAGAGCAGAATAGAATAGCAACATCTCCAGCATGTCTTTTTTTTCCAAAGCACCAAACTAAATCTCAGTTCTTTCAAATTTTCTCATATTTTCCCCTCCCCCATGCTTAAAAATCAGTCTTAGTCTGGGTTAACTCTGCCAGCATTTTATTTCTTATCTCACCTAAGTTTGAGGCAGTAGGAGCTGCTGTCATGGCTGTCAAAATGTACAGTTGGCATGAGTGGGCAGAATGCTGGATTTGGCTCCTTTTGGGAGGATTTCTTCACTTGACTTATTGGCCAGAAATTTCACTCTGTTGTTAATTTGGGTGCTGCTCCATTGCTGGGAGCAACTATAGGAGTGCTAGACAAGACTCTCGCAGCTTCTGGTGTTTTTACTGTTGTGTTTCATTCTGCTCAGCAAAGGTCTAGCTGACGGTGTGATAAAAACAGTTTTAAATGGCACATTTCACACTTTGGGACACATGCATTTTTCCTTGAGCACAATATTGGTTGGTTAGTGATTAAGTCTTTGGTTTGGTATTTAGGAGCTCATTCCTGACTTTGCTATAGACCACCCTGTGTGACCTTGGGCATGTCAGTCTGTCTCTCTAAGCTCCCCAAAATGGGGATAATAAACCTTCCTTTACCTTGTATTGTGTGCTTGTGTGTCAACTGTAAACTCTTTGGGGGCAGGGACTGTCTCTTATTGTGTGCATGTACAGTTGGCCCCGATCTCAGTTGGTGATCCTTTAATACAAAGAATAAAATTTCTGTGCCCAGGAGCAAATTAAAAATGACACATTATCTAAAAATAAATCTAAAACAATAAAAAGTGAGGCTGAAGTCACTGTCCAGCAAAACAGACAAACACATGAGGGCTTTTGCTACAGGCTTTTATTTCAGAATTTTGGTGTTTCAGTGATATGCATAAAGCTATAGGGAATTTGGATCAAATTCATCTGCTTGGAGATCCTGGTTTATGCCCAATTGCAGCAGCTGCAGCTCGTATCAAAGACCAGGCCAGTTTGGCAATGCTGCTCATAGGTGATGCCATTCAGACAGTGCCAGAAAGCATTCCTGTTGTTGGCAACAGGGTAGAGGCCATTGGCTTTGCCAACACAGAACCCACTGCCACTACCAGAGCTTCCACTTCCACTTCCTCCGCTACTGGGAGCCGCTGTGATTGGAGAAATGGGCTGAGCAGGAGCGGTGCAGCCTGAAGCAGAAAATGATATACAGATCGGTCTATAACGATCCATTATTTTATAACATGCCCAATCACTCTAGTATCTGACCATGGTTATTAGATGCAGTGCCTAGAAGCAGGCAATACCATGTACAGTCTGCTGTCTTTGAGAGGGGCAGGCCCCCCCCCCGTGCGCTGGCTGAGCCTCATGATGACTGCATCAAACACTGGAAGAAGAAGGATCTGATTCAATTCCCACTGACAGCCATGGGAATCTTTTCATTGGCGTAAGCAGGTTTTGGATCGGGTGATCAGTGGGTACCTCCTTGATGGATTCAGAGGTTCAGACTCACCTCTGTTGTAAACCTGTTGCACGCAGTGGAATTACTGGGCAATCAGGGCCCAGAAACGTAAAATAATCAAGCTTCAAGTAAAAGGAGATTGATCTCCAAGGGGATCCACTAGAGCAGCTGTTAATTTTTTCCAGAACACAGATCTTTAAAGGGCTCTGCCAGATGGCAGGGGCATCTGTAAACTAGCTCAAGCTAGGTTAGCAACAGCCGGGAGTCCCCTTAGTAAACCAGTTTGTTTGAATCCCAGCAAATCTGGTCTCTTTAAAGAGCCGTGCTTTGACTGGAAGGTGGGATGGGGAGTCACAAAAGGAGAATTTAATGGAAGGTGAATTGTAGGCGGGGATATAAAATTGCTTCTTTTGAGAGGGTGTAGCTCAGCATTATATACACCAGTGGGCGTATTCAAATTCTCATGTACATCTGAGGAAAGGGTGCTAATTCTGGGAGCCTGTCCTGCTGGAGTCACTCACTTGTGCTCTGCAGTCCAAGAGCATTCTTCAGGGTGCTGATCAAGGGGAATTTGCCCTGGTTGCAGAACGTGCCAGTGAAGTCATCCAGGTCAATTGTCCATACCATAGCACCGCCAAAGTTGTTCTTCATTAACCACTGTGCCTGTTAAGGGCCAGGAAAGAAGCCAAGATCAGTCCAAACCCCACAAAAAAGAGACTCAAGGAACTACAGTGATGCAGAATGGGATCCCACTGGTTTTGATAGGTCAGAGGGTCCCATCGTACCTTGATGTTGAAGCTCTTGATGTTGTCATATCCCACCCACTCAGTGCTTTGGTATGCGTACGGGACATTTTGAGGGGTATCCCACACTTGAGTGGCTCCATTCTTCAGGAAGGTGCAGATCTAAAAACAGGGGGGTGAAACAGAAACAAAATCTTCCATCACTGCTGCAACCAGATAGCCAATGGACAGAAAACGGAACAGCAGTTTTGAAGCAACAACTCTTGTACAAAACAGATTCACTTGTTTTCATCTCATACTTTATGGGTGGCCCTTGTGGGCTCCTATACTCGGGTGCCTGTTCTCTAGCACATAGTAGACAGATGTCAGCTTTTTATTGTCAGTCACTGAGGAGCTAAGCTATGAAATTTAAATTCTTGTTTCATACTCTGCTTTCAGAGGTCTGGGGCGTATGGTTCCTGAGTTTTGGTTTGGGCCTAATTCTAGCACTAACTAAGCAGAAAGAGGAAAAACAGTTAATCCATGATGGGGGTTGATTAAGTATTCATTAATATTAGATGTCACAATTGCTTTTCTGTATACTCAGTTACAATTATTCCGATAGAAGTATTTATACTCTGATTTATATGCATTGTGATGGCCTGAGATTGTTTTAACAAGCAGATATTTTTGTTCACTTGTGCACTGCAACTACATAGCCCACAAACCTCATAGTAAGCCCAGAACCCAGACTGTTTTGTGTAAGGTCCAGCAGGCCCCGGTCCTGAGGTTGGAGCGCCGACAGCAGTGTTGGATGGATTGCTCAGGATGAAGGTGTGTCCATAGGTTGGGAATCCAACAATAAGCTTCTCAGCTGGGGCACCGTTGTTCTTCCAGTAATTCATGGCATCGTCCTATAAAAACAGTCAGTGAGTTACAGACTCTGGATCACAAGTGGCAGATAAATTCTTCCATCACTGCAGTTTTCAAGGATCAGTTCTTTGTTCTTAATTTCCTATCATTATAGGCCTTAAAGGATCTTGGTCAAGATATACTTACAATATTGAGATAGATATTGCTGCCAGTGTCAGTGGGGCCTTGAAACAGGGGGCTGTTCTCTCCAGTGTATCCCTCCCAAGAGCCATGGAAGTCGTAGGTCATCACGTGAAAGTAGTCCAGATACCTGAGGAGATAAAATTACCTTCGCTATTGTCTTCATCTTGGAATGGTTCATTTCCTCATCAACAGTGGCTTTTCAAAGCCTAATCAGAAGCAGTGATATAAACAGCCCCTGTATTTTTAGTGTCTACTTTAAAGATTCTCTGTAGATAAAGGATGGATTCTGCTTTAAGTGCCAAAAGTTCACTACAGATGCTAAATTTTTCAAACTTCAGTGGCTCAAGTCAAGCACCTAAATCCATATTGGTCTGAGTTTTCAGAGGGACCGAGCCCCAGAGCTCCCATAAGTTTTAGTGAGTGCCCAGCACCTTTGAAAATCAGGGCTTTCTTTATTTAGGTGCCTAATTTGGCAGCCAGGCTTGAGGCTTTTGGACATGAAGCTGGTTTTCACAGTGAAATATATTCGTTGTCTCGAATGTGGCTTGTGCTTTAAGCGAGGGATGAAGAGTATATCTGAAAGCATGGTACTCACTGGCCGAGCTGAGGAATCTGGTAGCCTGACTCAATGTTAGAGAGCCCTGCAGCCACAGCAGCGGTGACCAGGAGCCTGGGTTTGTTAACCTGTTTGGCTTCCTGCTCGAAGGCTTCTAGCATTTCCTAAGGCAGATTAAAAAACAACAACCCATAATTGGTTAGGAGCAGCAACACTGAACACTGGTCGCCCTTGATGTGCACCTGGTGAATTAGAAATGGCCCCATTCCCTCCTTGAGAATTCTTACTGCAATGAGTAGGGCCATTAGACTGCTCGGTTTTGTCCACCCATGTTTTGTTAATTCTGTCTGGCAATGTGAAGAAGACGGGTAACATTTTCAAAAGCGTCTAAGTGAGTTAGGCTCCTAAGTGCCAATTTCAAAAGTGACTTAGGCA